CCTAAGTCCTAAAACAAACCCTAAGGACTTAAAATGCATGAAATAAGATATGATTTGGAATGAAATATACAACCTAAATGATGCAAATTATGAACATATCAATGGAATATCTTGAGATCCAACCGTTGGAATGTCTCCAAACCAAGTGCATTTGAAAGCTGGTTGATTCTTCTATAAGTTGTCCAATTTTGAGGGTGATCAGACGGTGAGAAGGTCTTCGTCTCTCCATGAGAGTTCTGACAGTCTGCATTTATCCAAAAGAGTCTTTTTGTTCCAATTTGTGCTTCTTTATCCCAAATTACCTGAAAAGTCTTTTAAAATCCGAAAACATATAAATACTTTAAAAACCTTTGAAAATGGAGTAAAAACACCTGTAAAAGACATAAAAGTGATCCATAAAAATGGTCAAGATCCGGTGTTATCAATCCTCGCTTAGTTCTACGCCGAAACTTTCTTACTTCTCAAGGCGTCGAGGAATCTTGGCTACGAACTAACATCTTTCAGTCGACATGTACAATTCGCGGGAAGGTGTCTCATCTCGTCATTGATTTAGGAAGTTGTACTAGTGCGATTTCGGAGGAAGCTGTCACAAAGCTTGCCCTGTTTACGGAACCGCATCCTTCTGCCTACAAGATTGCCTGGTTAATTCCACTACATACATTCGTATTTCCAAATGGTGTCGAGTGCCGTTCTCTATCGGCCTCAATTACAAGGATTTGGTGTGTTGCGACGTCGTGCCTATGGATGCATGTCATCTCCTTTTGGGGCGTCCCAGGCAGTTCGATCGTCGAACTATTCACGATGGGTTCAAGAATACCCATAGTTTTACTTATGAAAGTCGGCGTATTACTCTGCTTCCATCACAAACTGCTACTGAGCCCCTCGTGTAGAGCAAGGAACTCGAGTCTCCTCCTGTTTCAGTGGACACTACAAAACCAGCTTTATTGATTTTGAAGGCTGAGCTTCTTGACGAGTGCATAGCGACAGATGTTGTTTTTCTACTGTGTCTAAAACCGCAACTTCTATCAGGAATCTCTAAAGCTTCTTTAAGTTTTCATGCGTTATTAACAGAGTTTCAGGATGTGTTTCCAACAGAGTTACCGGATGGTTTGCTTCCTCTCCGTAATATCCAGCACTGCATCGATCTAGCTCCTGATTCCGTTTTGCCTAACCGTCCTCACTATCGCATGAGTCCAAGAGAACATGATGAATTGCGAAAACAGGTGGAAGATCTCCTTGCCAAGGGTTACGTACGTGAGAGTCTAAGTCCTTGCACTGTTCCGGCGTTGCTAATTCCAAAGAAAGACGGGACTTGGCGTATGTGCGTCGACAGCAGAGCCATTAATAAGATTACAGTTCGGTGCAGATTTCCGATTCCGCGTCTTGATGATCTTTTGAACCAAATCGGTTCAGCCTCTATGTTTACCAAATTGGATCTTTGAAGTGGGTATCATCAAATACGTATTCGATCTGGTGATGAATGGAAGACGGCTTTCAAGACAAGAGAAGGGTTGTTTGAATGGCTTGTTATGCCTTTTGGTTTATCTAACGCACCAAGTACGTTTATGCGTGTGATGAACGAAGCCTTGCGACCATTCATTGGGCAATTTGTTGTGGTATATTTCGATGATATACTCATCTTTAGTGAGTCGTTGGATGACCACTTGAAGCACCTGCGTGATGTTTTGTTAGTTTTGCTACGAGAACAGCTGTTTGCTGCGACCACGAAATGTGTTTTTGGTGTGGATCAAGTTCTCTTCTTGGGGTACATTGTGTCTTCGTGTGGCTTAGAAGTTAATCCTGCGAAGATTACTGCACTACAGTCTTGGCCAACTCCTCGCTCTGTCACTGACATACGCAGCTTTCATGGTTTAGCATCGTTTTACCGACGTTTTATACATCACTTTTGCAGCATTATTGCTCCCATTACAGATTGTATGAAGTCTGCTTCTTTTCATTGGACACCCGCGGCAGAGCAGGCGTTTCAAGAGATCAAGTTAAACCTTACGACGACACCAGTTCTTGTTCTCCCTAACTTCAATATGGCATTTGAGTTACATTGTGATGCATCTAAATCAGGAATTGGAGCAGTTCTTAGCCTGGCGAGTCGTCCGATTGCCTTTTTTAGTGAGAAGATTGCAGGTTCTCAATTGCGATACAGCACTTACGATGTTGAGCTATACCCTGTCGTTCAAGCCGTGAAACATTGGAGACATTATCTTTTTCATCGCGAGTTTGTTCTCTACACTGACCATGATGCTCTTAAGCATATGGGCTTGCAAGATAAAGTCTCTGTGCGACACGCTTCTTGGTTTGCTTACCTGCAACAATTTTCATTTGTGATCAAACATACCACAGGAATGCTTAATAAGGTTGCTGATGCATTGAGTCGTCGTCATTCTGTGCTCACGATTTTACATGTCTCTGTTCCAGGATTTGATCTACTTTTGGATTTGTATCCTCATGACCCTTTTTTTGGGAAAATTTGGCGTGATGTCGAACAAGGGATCAGCTCATCTTATGTTATCTTTGATGGCTTCTTGTTTCGTGGTGCACAATTGTGTATTCCTGAGTGTAGTTTGCGACTACAATTGATCAGGGAGCTTCATGGGGAAGGACACATTGGACGAGATCGTACGCTAAAGTTGGTTAGTAGTTCGTATTTTTGGCCAACATTACGACGTGATGTTGAACGATTTATTGTCCGTTGTGGTATTTGTCAAGCGGCTAAAGGAAAAGCTACTAATGCTGGGCTGTATCTTCCTCTTCCGATTCCTATGCAGCCATGGACAGATATAAGTATGGATTTTGTACTTGGCTTACCTCGGACACAGCGAGCTAACGATTCCATCTTTGTTGTTGTTGATCGTTTCTCGAAAATGGTGCACTTTATCCCTTGCAAAAAGACGACTGACGCGGTTCAGGTAGCAATTCTGTTTTTTCGGGAAGTTTATAAACTTCATGGTCTTCCTTTATCTATTGTCTCAGATAGTTATTCTTGCTTTTTGAGCCATTTTTGGCAATCTCTGTGGCGTCTCCTTCGTACCAAATTAGACATGAGTTCAGCGTATCATCCTTAGACGGATGGCCAAACAGAGGTGACAAATCGGGCACTTGGTGATTTGTTAAGGTGTCTTGTTGGTGTCAATGTCAAAACGTGGGATACCGTTCTGTGCTAGGCCGAGTTTGCTCATAATCGAGCTGTTAATCGGAGCACTGGTTTCAGTCCTTTTCAGGTGGTTTATGGGACTCTTCCTCGTTGTCCTGCGGATCTTGCTCTCACGCCAGATCGTACGCGTTTCCATGGTCGAGCTTGTGACTTTGTTGAAGCATTTGCTGCCATTCACGATCAGGTTTCCAACTTGGAATCATCTACCGCTAAATACAAGTCCGATGTTGATGCTCATCGCCGTGATGTTCAATTCCAAGCTGGTGATTTAGTTTGGGCAGTCTTAACCAAATATCGCTTCAAACCAGGCACATACAACAAACTCAAGTCACAAAAAATTGGTCCTCTAAAGATCCTTGAGAAGATTAATAACAATGCTTATCGCCTGCAGTTTCCTCCTCACATGAACACAACCTGATGTTTTCAACGTGAAGCATTTGGTTCCTTATGTTACTGCAGATGACAATGAAAATTGGAGGGCGAATTTTCTTCTTACCCCGGGAGACCTGATGTAGCAACATCTACCTTATCTTTTACGTGTTTTACAATTTTTCTACTGAATGGTTATTTTCAGGTTTTAAACTATTTCCTTTTCCTTTTTGAACTTCGATTTATCGATTAGGGCTTTAGTTTTGCTTAAGGTCGGCTTAGACCATCTCTATATAAGGTTTTGTAATCCTTCGGGAACAGTTAGTTGTTTTATCGAATAATAAAGAGTCTTCTCTTAATTGAAGTCTTCGAATTCTCCCTGTTTAACAAAGAATTTTGAGCATCAGACAGATCCTCTTGATCCATAGATCCTCGAGACTCTGTTTTGATATTTATCCGCTGCAACAGAATCCCATTTTATGAAGGAATCACAGACCCAAAAGTGCATATCACAGCCTTCCATATTGCAATAGGATGAGCCTTCTCGAAGAACGCTGCAAACCTCACCGAGCAAGAGAAGGATGATGGTTTCTGCCTGCTGTTTTTAGAACACCTCAAAGGAGCCGCGCTGGAATGGTTTTCAAGGCAAGACTGCAACTTGATCAACAGTTTTCAATAGCTTTCCGTGCTGTTCGTAAAACAATATTCTATGTTTATGGATCGAGGAACTTTTGATGCGGATCTGTGGACATTATCTCAAGGACCTAAAGAACGTCTCCGAGATTACATGACGAGGTTCAAAGCAGTGGTTTCCAAAGTTGAAGGGCTAAGTAACAAAGCCGCCCTCAAAGCCTTAAAACAATCTTTGTGGTACAAATCTGAGTTTTGACGGGAAATGACGTTTAACACACCACAAATGATCCAGGACGCTCTGCATCGATCGTCCGACTTCGTGGTGAATGAAGAAGAAATGAAGAACTTGCATGAGAAATATGAAGCGAAAAAAGTAGTAGTTTGAAGCTCAATCTTAACGTGTCCTGCAAATAAAAAGAATCCAAGGAATAGTGTTATTATGCAAAGCTCGGAAGAGCCAAGAATTGGCGACGACCATAACTATCAGGTAGGTGCTGGCCGTGGAAGATGCAAGCCGCACAGCAACACTTAGGTACAGAATCCAAGCATATTTTACGAGAAAGCGTACTGCAAGTATCATCATACCCACATGCATTCGACGGCGCAATGCCAAACCCTTAGCGCTAAACTCGCCGCAAAAATGGCAACAGGAGAACTTCAGAGCGTAGTCAGTCTTAAAGATCTCGTTCTAGCTGAACCGAAGGAGCGAGCCAAGCTGAACAGTGTGGCAGAAAAACAAGAGATACCTCGACGAGTTGATAACCCAAAACACGATTGGAGAGGCGAAACTGAGGAGCGACCTGAACCGACATAAAGGATCAATATGATAATGGGTAGGTCTCAATATTACCAATACACGGTGTCCTTCATAAAAGCCTATCAGCCAAAGGCCAAGGCCAAAGAGAATTGGATCGAACCAATTGATTTCCCGAACACCATAATCTCCTTTGCCGAAGAAGAAACAACTGGAATTGACAGGCCACACACGGATCCATTGGTGATCGAGCTGACCATCAAAGATCACGACATGGCAAGAGTATTAATCAATATTGGGAGCTCGGTAAATGTTATCTTCAGAGAGACCCTAAAAAGGATGAAAATTGATCTCTCCAAAGTGACTGCCACGCCCAAGCCGTTAACCAGATTCTCAGGAGAAACAACCATGAGAATGGGAACCATCAGACTACCTGTCCAAGTCGGAGGTATTACGAATATCGTCAAATTTTCTGTGGCAGACCATCCCACGATTTATAACGTAATCATGGAAACTCTGTGGATCAACGCCATGAGGGCTATCCCATCAACCTATCATCTCTGCATCAAGTTCCCAAATCTTGGAGGCATTAAGACTATTTGGAGAAACCAAAAAGAATCGCATATGTGCTTTCTCACCGAACATAAGCTAAGAAATCCTACTGACGCGTGTGCGGCCGTCGACCGCAAGAAGTTGAAGACAAACCGGGAGCCTGTAAACGAGCTCTCAAACTCTTGTAGCAAGCCAGATTGCGATCCAGTGATCTCAGTGTGCATAGACGAAAAGCATCCGGTGAGATGCGTGGAAATTAGAGCCAAACTAGATGAGCGCTTGAAGAGTGAATTATTTCCTTCCATAAAAAAAAACATCAACACGTTCTCTTGGAGTGCGTAAGACATGCTGGGGATAAGTATCAATGTGACATTTCAAGATCTGAATATGAACCCAACCTTCAAACCTATAAAGCAGAAGAGAAGGAAGCTCGGCCCGGAACGAGCCAACGCAGTTAATGATAAAGAAGAGAAATTGCTCAAAGTCGGGTCAATAGCCTTGGCGAAATACCCAGAATGGCTCGCAAACCCCGTGGTAGTAAAAAAGAAGAATGAGAAATGGCAAGTCTGCGTGGATTTTACAGATCTTGACAAGGCATGTCCCAAAGATAGTTTTCTGTTGCCGTATATCGACCGGCTCGTAGAAGCAATAGCCGGAAACAAATTGCTGTCATTCATAGATGCTTTCTCTGGATACAACCAAATTCTCATGCACCCTGGCAAAAGAAAGAAGACATCATTCATAACTGACTGCAGGATATATTGCTATAAGTAGCTGAATCTACACAACATGAAGTTGAATCCATTAAAGCGCAAATTTGCCATGACCTCAGGCAAATTTCCCGGCTATCTGGTAACTCACCGCGGCATCGAACTGAATCTAGAGCAGATCAGCGCACTAATCGAGATGTCATCTCCTAAAACAAAGCAAAAAATTCAAAGGCTCTCAGGACGGATCGCCGCGCTAAATTGATTCATCTCACGATCAACCGATAAGTGTCTCCCTTTTTACGATACCCTCCGCAGGAACAAAAAAATTCGAATGTGATGACAGATGTGAGTTGGCTTTCTAGGAGTTGAAGACCTATCTGGCGAGCCCACCAGTCTTAGCCAAGCCGGTAGCGGGAAGAGGATACCTAGACACTGCACGCGAGCAGAAGCCTATTTTCTTATCCGTAACAATCGTTAGTGGAGTACTGATTAGAGAAGAGTGCGGCTAGGAGAAGCCTATTTTCTACGTCAGCCAGACCTTAACCGACGCCGAGACTCGCTACCTCCAAATGGAGAAAGTCGTCCTTGCTGTAGTATTGCCAACTCGGAAATTTTGGCCCTATTTCCAATCACACTCAATCGTAGTGCTCGCGATATTCCCTATATGCTCAATCCTACACAGCCTGAGCCAATCCGGATGGCTCGCTAAGTGGGCGGTTGTACTCAGAGAATATGACATCGAGTATCGGAACAGGTCATCCGCGAAATCAGGTGCTAGCAGACTTCCTTATTAAGGTACTCCCGACGCAATGGATGAACTCACTTCAGAGGATACCTAGACACTGCACGTCGACGACTCTTTATCGAGACAAGGTTCAGGATTTTGAATCCGTTTAACGTCACCAACAGGGGAAATCTTGGAACATTCTTTCTACCTCAATTTTCTCGCCTCGAACAACGAGGCGGAGTATGAAGCATTAATTGATGGTCTAAGACTAGCGCTCAGAATTGAAATCCGGAAGATAAGAGCTTTCTGCTACTCTCATTTAGTGGCAAATCAGTTCAATGGAGAATACAAAGCTAATGATGAAAGCTTATCTCAAGGTTGTCAAAAACTTGGTGCAACAGTTTGACGAATTTGAATTGAATCGAATACTCCAAGGTGAAAATGCTCCAGCAGACGCTTTGGCAGCTATCGCCTTGACATCAGATCGCGACCTAAGGAGGACGATTCCTGTTGAATATATTGAATAACCAAGCATCGAAATAGTAGAAGGAGTTCAGTTAATAAATCCCCCGGAAGAAGAGCACGACCCCGAGAAAAATGACGAAATAACAACAATGGAAGCAGACACTATGTCAACAGAGTCGGAGTGTGGTTGCGACCAGGAATGGCTCAGAGCAATTCACATGTACACCACCGACGGCGAGGTCCCATTCAAGAAATGTGAAGCTTGGAAGCTAAATGCCCAATTTGCAAGATATATCCTCATCCGAAGCGAAGTGTGTAGAAAAAGCCGAGGCAAGGAAGATAATCCACTAATTTCACAGCGGCGCGTGTGGCAACCACTTCAGCGTGGCAATCAAAATAAAATGGCACGACTACTATTGGCCAACTATGGTAAAAGATTACGAGAAATTCACCATGTACTGCAAAAAATGCCAGCGCACGCGCCAACCATACATCAACCTATCGAGCTGTTATCATCGATCTCATCACCTTATCCCTTCATGAGATGGTCAATGAATATTGTCGGATCTCTGCACAGGTCAAAGCAGAAGTGATTCTTACTGGTTCTCACAGATTATTTCTCAAAATGGATCGAAGTAGACTCCTACGCAAGCATAAAGGACGTGCAAGCCGAACACTTCATCTGGAAGAACATCATTTGTCGGCACAGAATTTCCTATGAGATAGTACCAATAAAGGATAGCAACTCATCTCCACCCGGTTCGAAGCTTTCTGCGAAAAGTAGAAAATCCGTCTAAGTAATTCAGCGCCAAGATACCCCCAAATGGGCAGGCCAAAGCGGCCAACAAGACAATCTTGGACAGATTGAAGAAATGGCTCGACCCTAAGAAGAGATGATGGACAGATAAGCTAAAAGGAATCCTCTGTCACCCCAAACAACTCCACACCCAGGCACCAAGGAAACACCATTTTCCCTTGTTTACGGGACCAACTGTGTAATTCCCCTCGAAGTCGACTTCCCCGGAATACGACGAAATCTATTACTCAGACAGGAAGGCTTGAACCACTTGATGATGCTGGACAAGCTCGACTTAATCAACGAGAAGCGCGACCAAACCCTGATACGGATTCAGAATTATCAGCAAGCAACAGCAAGATACTACAATAAAAATGTCCAAAGTTGAAGATTCCAGGAAGAAGAGCTAATTCTCAGAAAAGTATTTCAGAACACTGCCGAGAGGAATGCAGCCAAGTCTAGAGCAAACTGGAAAGGACCTTACAAAGTTACTAAGGTAGTTCACCCAAGAGTTTACGAACTAGCGACCATGACAGACGAAGCAGTCTTTAGGATCGTGGAATGCCATGCACTTGAAGAAATACTATTACTAATAATGCATTGTGACATTCATGAAATACGGGACGATTCCTGCAAAGCGTACGTAAGCAGCCTATCTTCGGATGGATTCAGCTGTCCCTTCTCTAAAAAAAGGGGGGGAGTGGGTACGTATGCGTATACTTACACCTTTTCCTTTATAAAAGTTGCATCAATGATTTGGTTCGCTACTTTTCTTTCTAAGAACTTCTTTTAGCTTTGTTCTAATTACTCAAATTTCACTTTGGCAAAACTTCTCATTACTTAGCAACTATTTTTGCCTCGACCAAATTTTCATTACTTAGCTATTATTTTGCTTTGACTAAATCTCGTCACTCTGCCACTATTTTGCTTTGGCAAGATTTCCTTACTCGCTTTGAGCAAAAACTTTGCCTCGGCAAAGAGATACTTATATCATTCCTTCGATTTCGAATATCTCACATATCATACACCTCGTCTCGTTGCTGGCCACAACGGGACAACATAAGCAAAAATTCTCTAAATAAAATTTTTACCACCTTTCCTAGGACAAAGGTGCAAAAAACATCTTTTTTGGATAAAAATAAAGCGCGTTATATAAATCTTAGACTAAACGTATCGGTCACACTAGTTCACTATCGTATATGGGACCAGAATTCGAGACTACATTGCATTCTTTAATGAACGAAGTGGATTCTAAAAATCCGGCTAAACATATTTTTACATGTACACCGGCTTAGAAACTCTGGTTCTTAGACATATTTCGAGAAAACATTTCAGCTCCAGGCTCCAAAACTTTGGTACAAATGGTTCGTCACGATAAGCCCTATCTCGTAAAAAACTTCGGTACAGATGCCACTAAAACAACTTATACCATTCAATGAGATCAAAATGGATAAAGCCGTCCAAGCACATAAAGGTTCACAAGAGAAATAACAATAGAAAGACAAAGTATGAATAAAGCCATCAAGTCACAGCAATCAGTTCAAATTAAAGAGGGAACAAGCAAACTATTCCGAGAGCGAGATCAGCAGCTCTCGGGGTACCGATGTTCGAACCTGTGGGATTGATAACTCCAATAGCGGCCGCAGTTACCTCCAGTGGCTCGTTCTCAATACCGGAACCAACAGAGTCCGGTGAATTCGGAATAACAACCAGCTCACCCATGAGGTCGATTGCGACACGCTCAAACATCTCATCCGCTTGAGTCAGGTCAGCCTCCCAGCCCTTCAGTTTCTCCTCCTCGGCATCGAGAGTGGCGTCGGGTTTCCAAAGATCATTAATCAGTGCGAGGTTGCTACTGATCTGGTCGAGGTTGTTCTCATCGTTCTTGGTCTTCTCCAGCTCGTCCATCTTATTCTCGACTTTGGAAATACGTTCCTGGTACTTAGCCGCTGCCTTGCGTCTTGCCACCTTTTTGGATTTCTTGACCTGCAATTTGAGATGGAAGTCTTTCGCCTCGATTTTCCTCTTCAAGGAAGCAATCTCGGAGTTCTTCCTTATCCAGGACTCCTCGATTTTCCTCTCCAATGCTGGAATTTTTGTGGTAATCTGCCCTTAGAACCATTTTCTGTTCCTCTAGCGCATCGATCCGGGCTGACGCTTTGACATTCTCGTCCAAAACCGTTTCAAGCTCAGCTTTGAATGCCGCGACATCCTCCTTTGCCTTTATGAGGCGGCGTTCGTCCTTGAACGCGTTGGCCTTGTAACCAGCCATCAGCTTGTTCACAACTGCGTAGAACTGTTGAAAAAAAAAACAGAGTAAGAATCTAAACACCAACACTTAGAGAGAATCCAAAAATTTCAAGATAAGTCATACCTTTGTCCCGTGCTGTACCATCACGGCATAGGGCTTCGATTGCCTGAGCTTCTTGGGGTGTGGCAAAGAAACGTTGGCATTATTCACCTTTGAGAACAGTAATGTCGAGGCCCTAGTGTCGCCAACAACAAGCCTTTTGTACACCCGCTCTCCTGCAACTCCTTTTTGCAACCTCTTGGGCAGTTCGTCTTTCCCAGTGACGATCCCTTTACCTTTCTCCGCGGGAGAGCGTTTGCGGCTTGCTGACTCATGCTTCACAATGTTGGAAGCAGGAGGACATGCTGATTAAGGAAGGGCGAGTATTGCCAACGCGGTCCCACGGCTCGCCGAGACTTTCGTAGACGCTTCGGGGGGAATATCCCTTTGCTCAATATCGAATACCTTATCCTCACCCGGTTCGCGCCAACAGCAGGCGCCTCTTCGGCCGATTTTTGGGCATTCGGCGGATCCTCCGAGTCGACGTCTTCTCACCTCGCTTGGCAGCCTCCTCGGCTTGCCTGGCAACCTCCTTGGCTCACCTGGCAACCTCCTCGGCTTGCCTGGAAACCTCCTCAGACTCCTTTCTCTTCCTTTCTCTGAGAGTTATGATCTTTTCTCTTGTATCACCAGATGAGTTAGAACACCCTGAACTAACGGGAACTCCAGCTAGGATAGATCGAGCTTTTTCAACTCTCTCATGAGAAAAGTGAAGCTGCTAGTTAT